ATTGAGCATCTCTGCCATTTCCAAGTTTCCTGTTACTGTTTCTCCCTCCTCACTGACCAGTGGGCCTACCCTGTCCTTGGTCTTCCTCTTGCTTCTAACATATTTACAAAAAGTCTTCATTTCACTTTATTCCCGTAGCTAGTTTGAGCTCATTTTGTGCCTTTGCCTTTCTAATCATGCCACTGCATTCCTGTGCTGTTTGCCTTTATTCATTCTTTGTAATTTGTCCTACTTCCTATTTTTTATATGACTCCTTTTTTATTTTTAGATCATGCAAAATCTCGTGGTTAAGCCAAGGCAGTCTTTTGCCATATTTCCTATCTTTCCGACGCAGTGGAATAGCTTGCTTTTGAGTCCTTAACAATGTCCCTTTGAAAAACTTCCAAGTCTCCTCAGCTGTTTTTCCCCTCAGTCTTGATTCCCATGGGACCTTACCTATCAGCTCTCTGAGCTTACCAAAATCCACCTTCCTGAAATCCACTGTCTCTAATTTGCTGTTCTCCCTTATACCCTTCCTTAGATTTGTGAACTGTATGATTTCATGATCACTTTCACCCAAGCTGCCTTCTACTTTCAAATTCTCAACCAATTCTGAAGTTACAATTTTAACTAAAAAACAGAAATGTTAAAGCTAAGATTCTTACGTGAATTTTGTCAGGGATGGGCAACCAGGAATAGTAGGTGGGCTGCATGAGCGGCCCTCCTTCACCTCAGTGGCAGCTGCAGCTCACTAGGGTTTCCCCTCCTCTATATGCCTTTCCTACACCAGAGCACAGGAACAAAATCAGCTGTTTGCAGCATTTCAGCTCTGGGAGGAAGGGAGGGGGAGAAGTGGGGACTGAGCATGGATCAGGTGATTTGCATGCTCCCAAAGTGCTGGGAGGGAAAGGGAAAAGCAGGAAGTGTGGAGCTCCAATGAACAATAATCGCATGGGGGAGAGGGGCAGCCAGGAGGTCTGCAAGCTGCAGGCGAAGCCCCAGTGGACCACAGGTGGCCCATAGGCCACAGAATTAGATAATTTTCTTAAAATACAGCATGTGTGATGCTGGTGACATAACTCCTATATATGAAAAAATTATCTTCTGCATTTTCTGCTGTTTAACTCCAAATTTGCCATTTTAATGTTGCATCACCAAAGGCTTTTGTGTTATAATGATGCAGTGATGAGGATGCAAGTTTAAATAAAAATGTTAGGAAATACAAAGCTAATATACATAAGTTTTACCCTCTCACAGATATCTAGAATGGAGCAATGTCGTTTTGCTACAGTTCCCCTTGTGACCATTATGGTATGTTATCAAAATGGATGTCTTAGGCCTAGTCTACACCAACACCCATTCTTCCCACCAATTTAACCTATGCAACTTCAGCTATGCAAAAAGCGTAGGTAACGTCAATGAACTTATTGTGGTATCAGTATCTTCTATGCCAGTGTGGGTAAACAGCAGCCTGCAGGCTGGGTCCAGTATGACAGGGTTTGTTGTTTGGATGCCCTGTATAGTGCCTGGGAAAACTACTGGTTTAGTACTTGGAGTGATAGTTGTTTTACTTGACTAACAATGTAGTGTTTTGTGGTGCAATGACAACTTGTTTTCTGTTTACAATATTCTCAGATTTATTTATTCATTCAATGAGGAATCTTTTTAAAATAGCTCCCATTGGGAGTTATGTTTTTCAGGACTAAGAAGTAAATCTCTTATCTTGCCCCAGTTTTTAATTTTCTCACTACATTTTTTTAAATCTATGGTGTCTGATCACAGATTACGTTATCACAATTAAAAGATGTCTGTCCTAATTTCTCAGTGGAGTTTTTGTAGGAGTATCAGAAGCTGAAATGCTGGTCATGATTTGGTTTCCAGGCAAATCTTAATTACTTCTGAAAGTAATTTCCTTAAATCAGTC